CACCTTCTTCCTTCAGAGTCCTGACCTCAGCCCAGGGAACGGTTCTGATGTTCCAGAACCCCACGCCGGTACCGATCTGGACCAGGTTCTGAAACCATTTCTACCTGGTGGGGTGGGGGGGAGAGGTTGTTTACGTCCTTTGACGTTTCCTGGACAGAGCGCAGACGCAGGACGTGTCGATGCGTATCCATCTCCACCGCACCGCGTTACGAACCTGCGTCAGCGCTCGGACGAACGTCTGCGTCGTCTTACACTGCGAGTTCCAGTTCTTGTCGTCGATGCCTCTGCAGCCCCCCCTAAACGGTCTGGCGGTCCGACACCGCGTCTCATAAAAGAACTGCTTGATGTCCGGAGTTGCGTTGGTTTTGATCTTAGCCAGGACGGTGACGGCGTTCCCCCCCGTGTCCACGGCCTGGGTTTTATCCGTCACCCATTGGCTCTCGCTGTCGCAGACGGAGTACTCCCCGCGGTAGCTCCTGTGCTCGGCGTATCTCTTCTTCCGCGTCTTGTTTCCCGGCAGTCCAAACTCCGGCCCGCTGCTGACAAAGTCGTCTGCGGGGTAGAGGGGCGGGGGCTGCAGCGGGGGCCGATCACTCAACAAGACCCGGGGTGAGTTGTACCTCTTATGCTGCCTGAGGAGGTCAGAGTTCAACATCAGCAGTTGCTGATCCAGCAGGCCGTCGCTGCCCCCTCCGCTGCGACTCCCCGCCCCCCACTGGTCCATGTCACTCTGGTCCTCCGAGGGAGAGCGTGCGCTGGGGAACGGAGGCAGGAAGTCCTGCGGCGGCGTCTCCCTGCTTTTACCCTGTTGGCTGTGGTTGCCCCGGGATCTGCCCTTCATCAGGTCGGCCTGGAGCAGCTGGATGATGAGGGAGTTCAGGGCGTCCTGGTCCGGCTGCTGCTGCTGCTTCTGCTTCTGCTGCTGCTTCTGCTGCTGCTGCCCCCGGTGGCTGCCATCCATGTTACTTGCCTGGATACCATAGAGGTAGACAAGGACCATCACGTAGAGCAGGATGGACATCACTAGATTCACCTGTAAGATCTGAGGAACAGAGAGACGGGGGGTGGGGAGGAGAGGGGGGGTCAGATGATCACCTGCTCCAACATGTTTAAACTACAGTGATTCAAAATAACAACAATAAAAAAACAGAAAATGGACAGAGAACCAGAAAAAGGAACCAAATGTCCTTCAATGTTCCTTTGATCAATTCTTCAGTGGATCAAAGGAAAACCTCTAATGACTAAATATCATTATTACTGTTGTTATTACAGCCTTATTATGTCCTGCTAATAACCACCGTTGACCTAACGAGCTCTGTCAGTCCGCCTGTAGTCTGACATCTAAGGAAAGGTGACATCTAAGGAAAGGTGACATCTAAGGAGTGATTGTTGTGTGTGATCTCAAAGAAGATAGTTCATCAAAAGCTTCAAAGGACAGAGGGACGCGTCACCTGACCACATTGTTACAAAGGCAGCGACTGTGACGAGGCAACAACAAAGGACAGACGACCCGGCCCGACACGTTAATGGCGTCTTTGTCCAACTGATGGCGTCCTCTGTCATGGACCCCGGGGACATGGTCATACTTAAAACATAAGGGTGAGCGTCCCACCCTGAGGCCCCCCTGTGAGGACGGCAGCAGAATGGACATCTTTCTCTGCTGCCCGTCCTTCATGTGGATCCAAGGGAGACAGGACTAGAACCCATGGTTTGGGTGGAAGTACTCGTGTCACCAAAATACTGCGGTTCACTGTAGAACGTTTAAAGCTTCAGTCGTGACAGAGACGGCGATGCCTTCAGGGTCTCTGAAGTAACACAGCCCGTCATTGTAGGAAGTGGTCTTAAAGGAAACTGGAACTGGACTGGAACTGGAACTGAACCAGTGCATGAACAAAGTCTTTGTTGGACAGAGGACACTCGACAAGTTAGAGGGCAAGTCTGTGGAACTATTATGACGGAGGACAAAGGGAGGAGGAGAGGGTGAGGAGGGTGAGGCAGAGGAGCTCCAGTCTGTGTTTCTCTAAATATATATATCTAATATATAATATATATATATATATCTTAAAGACCCCGTCCCCCCAGAACCTGCAGGAATACTGCGTGGTTCATGTTGACGCAGCAGCTCGTTCCTCAGCTCAGTGATAAGGTGTCAAGGGTTCTATGTTCCTATGATTAACAGGAACAAAGGTCCAGGGGAAGGAACCAGCTCCACAAAGAGGAGAACCAGTGTGTCGTCACCTGGACAAACAGTCCACCACGATAAGGACTTGACGCCAAGATTAATGGGACCAACCTATCAACGGGTCACACTGAGGTTTGGACCTGTGGCCAACACAGAACCATCAAGACTGAGTTCCAAACACAGAACCATCAAGACTGAGTTCCAAACACAGAACCATCAAGACTGAGTTCCAAACACAGAACCATCAAGACTGAGTTCCAAACACAGAACCATCAAGACTGAGTTCCAAACACAGAACCATCAAGACTGAGTTCCAAACACAGAACCATCAAGACTGAGTTCCAAACACAGAACCATCAAGACTGAGTTCCAAACACAGAACCATCAAGACCGAGTTCCAAACACAGAACCA